CCAATTTTCTGAATATGATTTCCTTACTAAATTTTTTGCCTTATCCAACAAGGCTTTGACTAATTTACCTTTACTGCTATAAACCGCCATTTTTTGTTCCTCCACGGCTCTACTTCCCTGATAATCCCATTTCGAATGCTATCCAAGGTGGTGGAATTTCTAAATAGTCAGTTTGATACAGCAAAAGTATTGGCCACCACTTCGCCAATACCCATATTGGTACAATTATTGTCGGCAATGCTTTTCTTTCTATTACATGCTGGAGTACACGATGAATTAAGCCCAAGGGGGGGCAAACATAATTGTTCTCGCCATTCCAACTTTGTGTAAAACAATTTACCGCCTCGGTTCCTGGACAATAGAAATGGCTGTTGAATCTTGTGAGCTCCGAGTTTGGTGATCCGCCATTCTGTCTATAATATGGGGACCCCACTTTTCTTCCAATTCCAAAAACACCTTCTGTGCCAATTTCTAATCTGATAGATCTGATACTCGGGTTAACTTGTCGGCCGGGTTTACTTTCAATGGGACCCAAAAGGTCTTGTTTAGCCAAATACCGTACTCGTCCAGCAGACTTCAAAATTCTCTCAACAAGGCCTTTTGCTATGTTAAATTTCCTTTTTTTACTACTGTAGCTAGAGCTACACAATTATCTATATGTATGTCTATCCACAAATGGCTCAGAAGCTTTGCGAAGGATCTTACATCTAAAATTACTGCACTTGCCTCGAGTTTCGCTATTTCTCTGTATGAATGCCACCTTTCCCAATTTCCAAATGCCTGATTCTTTCCGAATATTGCTGCCCAGCCTATCGTCGAAGCATTGATATAGAGTACTTTGTTTTTGACGGCTTCCAAGCTGGTTTCCCATTTTTTGTTACCAGATTTTGAGCTAACCATTCTGCATCCTCCCGAGCTTGATTTGTTAATTTTATATGTATATCCCAGTTCCACCATTTTCTGTTTATTGCATCTATCAACGAATAGAATTCCAGGCAACGCACACTCCTATGAGCAAAGGCTCTGCTCAACGATTGTACCTTTCCGGCCACCACAGCCAACCGACGAACAGAAATTGTTTTCATCCTGGCACATTCCAAAAGCAGCTTCTGTATCTCCAAAATTTTCTCTTGGGGTACGATAACTAATACCTTGCGTGTGTCTATAATTAGACCATAAAATCTCGGTTGCTGAGTTGGCTCCCATTGACTCTTGCATTGTGCTCTTACAAAGCTACAATTTATCAAGTCCACTTCTATTACTGCATCTCTTATTCGCTTCATGTTTCCTCACAAGGATGCGCTACCCAAATATCGTCGACATAGTTCCCACAAAAAATTCCTAAAGACCTCCAGTGATCTATAATCGCCCTTATTATTTTCAAGAAAATCCAGACTACCTGTGACAGCCCGAAAGGCAGTACCCTGTAATAGTACCAATTGGCCAAAACCTTGAATCCCAAAAAACATTGTGCGTACTTTGTCATCAAGACATGATGATACCCTTCTTTTAAATCCATTGTGATCACATACCAATTTTTTCCAATTGTGCGTAAAAAGCCACCCAACCCTTCGAAGCGGAAGCATTTCTCTGGTAAAGTGGCATTTAATCACCTTAGATCTATTACCATCTGCCACTTTTTCGGACCCTTTTTCAGTACAAGAAATACTGGGCTCACTTCTGGTAAAAAATCCGGCCATTTTAACTGGTCTCCTAACCAACAAATTGTCTTCGTTCCTTGCAAACGTTCTAACTTGTTTCTGACCCACTCTGCCTGTTCCGTAGTAATCAGATACTGCTTTGGATCTGGTTTTACTGCTAAAGGCATAACTCTTTTGGCCAAAGTGGCACTCCATACTTTAACCAGTCCAAAATTACCGGCGAGAGCTTGATTTTTTGGCGCCAATACGCTTGAGATGAAATTCGATGAATCCTTCCCACTACCAATTGCTCTACATCGACCTCTTTCTAGCTCAATTTTGTTTGCACTATCACCCGAGCGTTGTCAATCATCTTGTTTGAGTCGAGATCTTTCTGTTGGTACTTTTGAGTTAGTTGAAGAGCAGTTGGGTGAGATATGCCCGATTCCTCTGCAGTTATAACATACAATTGACTTTGATAATCCATTTGATCCATGTGGCCTTTTGTTGCGAAAGGAATAGTATCCATTTTTTCTTTTCTTATTTTTATTATAAGAAACTGACTTCCTTTCCTCCGATTCTGATTCCGAAGAAGTAGATGCAGACTCTACCCTATACTTTCTTTTAATTTGTGACTTCCTATAATTTCTTTTAAAAAACTTTCTACTGTAGTTCCAAGTATTTGCTCCTATTGAAGGTAAAGCGCTTGTTACCATTCCAATTTGGTCTTTATATTTTTGCATCATCTTGTCATTTCCTCCAACCACTTGTAATGCCACCTTCCATCCTCTATCATTCGCCAACCAAAAAGTAACTGCACGTGATTCAATTTCACCCTAATAGCGATAAATTCTTTTTGATCATATTTGGATAGTCTTCCTATGGTCTTATTAAGCCGTTTTCTAACCCCAATCAAAAAATCATATTCGTATTGGTCACAGGGCTTTTCCAACTTAACCCGCGGCCAAGCTTCGCTCAGCAAACTTTCTTGTTCCGTTTCTTTAAAACATTGGTCTTGCAATGCCTCAAAATTATAATCAATCTTTCTTTCTATATTATTCAAGGCAGAAAGAAACATATCAACTGGCACCACATCCGTCTTTTTTATTACTCTCTTTCTTCCTCAGCAACACGCTGATTATTCTTCTTACTTGGACTTTTAATTTCGGAACCTGCTGACCATACTCCTTATTCCTCAAGTGTGATATTCCAGACGTACTTCCTGCTTGGTTTTTGAAATTATATTCACTGCCCAAATGTGACTTTAATTCCAAAGGTTCTTTATTTTCAGAAACAAAATCTATCTCTACTTCAATTAAGTCATTATCATTATTAATACTTTGGCCTTCAACTAATTCTAGAAACCCAGCATTACTATTGGCATCATTCAAATTTGACGGTAATTTCCCTTTTTTCTTATCAAAATGGGTATTTAATCTCTCTCCTAGCTCGTCTTTATTACCAAGCGTATCTAAACCACAAGACAAACACAAATCCCTTAACTCGTTTAACGTTAACTT